AGAAAGCATATTAAATTACAGTCTGTTCAAAGTATGTTCTGTGTTAATTCACCATAACAGATATATTTATGTGATAAAACAAAAATGCTTATTCTGACTTGTAATTACACAAATGTAGTACAGTAAAAGTGATCACTCTCAATTTATATTTTAGAATATTTAAAACATCTGGATAGGGTAGCACCAGCTGTTCGTAAGGTCTTTCTTAAACTGAAATGTAAAGTCCACAATAGGGGCTTAACACTCACTAGTTAGTTTGTAACTAAATTTGTTCTCACTTCGGTTCCACCACATGTTCTTCAAGCAAGCCGTAGTTAGTAGGTTTTAAGCTTTACATCAAGTCATGCGTAGTTGCATTGAATGACGTATTATCCAATAAAAATCATTAAACTGCTTTAAAACTCTGCAATAAATGCATCTATAAATAACTAATAAGTCACTAATAACAGATGACACGCACACCTGCATCGCAAGTCGTGAATACATAAAGTTATCAAAATATTAAACTTGAATTTTTATATGAAAGAGAAATGACCAAGAAGAAAAACTCAGTCATGAATTTTTTTTTTTTAATTGATGGATACAATGAACACAAAACAGAGATTTGAGAGTAAATTAAGTCTGTGAGTAGTGGGAGACCATTCTTCAATATAATCGTGAGGTCTTCAATGTAGCTGCGCCCAGTCAGTACCTGGATGGGAGACCACATGGGAAAGCTAGGTTGCTGCTGGAAGTGGTGTTAGTGAGGCCAGCAGGGGGCGGTCTGCGTGGGTCCTAATGCCCCAGTCTAGTGAAGGGGACTCTATACTGCTCAGTGAGCGCCGTCTTTTGGATGAGACGTTAAACCGAGGTCCCGACTCTCTGTGGTCATTAAAAATCCCAGGATGTCCTTCGAAAAAAAGAGTAGGGGTTTCACCCTGGCAATCCTGCCCAAATTTGCCCACTGGTCTCTGTCCATCATGGCATCCTAACCATTCCCATATCATAATTGGCTTCATCACTCTGTCTCCTCTCCACCTATTAGCTAGTGTGTGGTGTGCAGTCTGGCGCATTATGGCTGCCGTCGCGTCATCCAGGTGGATGCTGCACACATGCGGTGGATGAGGAGATCCCCCCCTATGTGTAAAAGTGATTTGAGTGTCCAGAAAAGCGCTTTATAAATGTAAGGAATTATTATTATTAATAGTAAATGCTAATAATTTCATTTTGACTGCATGCATGCTAAAATGTACAACTCAGTTATTATAAAGAGACAAAAAATAACTGCAGAAAACTTTATTGTTGACTCTTTGATCAATGACTGCAGAACTGCAATGAATGAAAAGTAGCTCTTGCAGTGTATCATTTTACAAAATGAAGTTGCTTACTAATACTCAATTTATCCTATATATACATACAAACATATATATATATATATATATATATATATATATATATATATATATATATATATATATATATATATATATATATATATATATATAGCTAAAATTATTTTATCTTCAGGTCTCAACAGATGTTTGATATTACATCCTGTGTAATGTCAAGTATCAGCGTGTAAGAGACTGCAATTTAAGTAAGTGCATGCAAGAGTTATGGCTTCAGCATCAGGGAGACCCTTGTGCATTTTATGGTTGCAGTAAAGAAAAAGCGAGAGAGAGAGAGAGAGTTTTCTGTCTCTCCATCACCTCAGGCCAATAACCCTGGATTCCAGCTCCGTCTGAAGCTGTTTCCCACTATTATGCGTGTCCTTTTTTAAGTCTGTTTGGGCACTTTCAGTTGTCTTGTACTACATGCTGACCTGCAGCATCTTGGTGACATCTGACCTTGCCCTCATTATGTTAAAGACCTTGTGTTGTGGCCACTGCATGAAGTCTTTGTGTGCGCTGTGAGTGGAAGCCTTGTGTGGAAGTGGCCACTTCAAAAAGGCTATATTTGTGTACAGAAGCCACGATGACTGTTCTCCTGCATTTTGCAAGAAGTCTCTCGTGCCTGTGTGCTGTTTAGAAATATACATCTATGGCAAAATTAAGAGACCATTTGGAAATTCTCAGTTTATCTGGATTTGCATGGGTTTGAGTAAAATGTTGATATTTCTAAATTGCAATAAATGTCTGATTACATAAAGTGAAGTTAGATCTTTTTTTAGTATCAGTTGGTTCAATTAAGAAATGTTTTCGTTTGTTATTATTAATATTTTTTTATTTAATTAATTTAATTATTTAATCAGGGATGTCCCATTGAGACACATTATCTCTTCCACCAGGGAGAAAAAAATACATGTCACAACACATAAACACATACAAAATATTATCAACCATAATCAGTTGTTAAAACATGTGCACTGTTTTAACATCACGTGACAGTGTTTATAATATGGTTAAGTATAGCGATAGATGTGGATTTCATATGTAGTATCTCTTGAAGCTCATTCCATACATATGGAGCTTACTTGGAGAATGCAGATCGATCTAACTGTGTGTGAAAACATGGCATCTTAAGTAAGAGTATATGTGCTGATCTAGTATACAAGTATTTGAGCAGTACAACAACAAAGTAGATATATACTGTGGTAATTTACCATCTAAAGCTTTAAAAATGAAAACTAAGATATGTTGTTTTCTTTTTGACTGTAATGAGGTCCATTCTTTCATTTTATATGAATTACAGTGATGTGTGCGTGCACTTAAACAGGAACAAATTGAAAGGCACTATGATAAACAATATCCTATTTTTTAAAAACATTCATAGGTGCGTGCATATAAAGTATATCTTCGTAATCCAGTACTGATAGAAGTGTACTCTCAACTAAACGTTTTTGAGCTGTGAAAGAGAAACATTTCATTATGAATAAACAGTAAGGTTATTCCAACAAATACTGCTTTCTTTAACTTTTATACAATTAAAATATTGCTATTGTGTTGTCTGAAGGTGAACATGATCGTGTCTTAATACATATAACTTTTTTTTTGTTATTTTATGCCAAAATAAACACTTTAAATATTAATAACAATAATACAATGCTCTAAAACAAAACACAAATGACATTTGATTCAAACACATTACAAAATAAAATTGTGGTGTCTTTTTTCCCCAGCTGTATATTTGAATGGTAAATCATAAAGAAGCTTATTTCATATTTGAAATGTAAATGGGCATAATACATAATGTTCTGTTTATGACTATGAAAATGCATGTAATAGCACTTTCAAGTCTTGAGGTCAAGTGACCACAATAAATTTTAATAGTTTTAATAATCAATTCATAAGCTAAAACTAAAGGCTGAGCAACACTTTATTTTGATGGTCCATTTGTGTATTGGTAGACTGTCTGCTTAATATATTTTGATATGCACCGTCAACAGACATTTAATTGACAATAAGAGTCTTTGCAAGTACATGTCAACTTACACTAACCGTAACCCTAACCCCAACCTAACAATCTGTTTATAGTCTACTGAGAATAAGTTGGCGTGTAGATGCAATCTATCTTAAATTCAACAAATGGACCATCAAAATAAAGTGTGATCGAAGGCTGTGCTGAAATTATTTTCTCTAATAATACACCATCAAAAAAGAGTGGTAACATTTAAAAAAATCTCTTATCATTATGGTGGCTTGAGAAAGCCAACATATTGTTATACTACATAAACTATTTCTTCATCTGTCTCCTTCTGAGAGTGTTTTTTCTATATGCATCTCCTCCTAAACTGTTCAAGCTACTGATAACCAAACTAACTCCAAACCTCCAAACTGCTCTGACTCAGATTTCTATATCTTTTCCAACTGATCTGACTTATGGTTTTCTGAAAACTGACCCGGAAAATTCAGAAAAGTCCCATTGACTTAACATTATGCCAAACTTTGTGTCCTCATAAATTTGCACCAGACTCTCATACAAGCTTAAGGTTGGGCTCATTTAAGTCAGAATACCAATCTGCCAATCACTGATGACCTTTCAACTTACTAGCCACACCCTAGCAACCACTTATGGCACCCTAGCAACTGTCCTATAGATTTTCATTGTAAAAAATTGCCATTGACTTTACATCGGACATACTATCAATATACTGTACCAATCCATACTAGAAACATACTAACAAACTCACTAGTCATACTAGCAACATGCTAATTCATTTTTTAAACATACAACATGCTAATTCAAGCTAAAGTCATGCTAACAACATGCAAGTTTATACTAAAACCATGCTGATTCATACTAGAACCATGTTAATTCAAACTAGAACCATTCTAATTTATGATAGCAATTGCCTAACAACCACCTTGAGCACTCTAGCAACCGCCTAGCAAGAAACATGCTAACATACAGTTGAAGTCAGAATTATTAGCCCCTCTGAATTATTAGCGCCCCCTTGTTTATTTATTTTTTTCCCAATTTCTGTTTAACGGAGAGAAGATTTTTTCAACACATTTCTAAACATATGGTTTATTCTGTAGACTATCGGAAAAAAAATAGCTTAAAGGGGCTTATAATTTTTACCTTAAAATGTTTAAAAAAAAACTGTTTTTATTTTAGCCGAAATTAAACAAATAAGACTTTCTCCGGAAGAAAAAATTTTATCACACATACTGTGAAAAGTTTCTTGCTCTGTCAAACATAATTTGGGAAATATTTGAAAAGAAAAAATATTCAAAGTGGGGCTAATAATTCTGACTTCAACTGTATGTAGTTATCTATCCATGCCAACTGTTTCAAACTTGTTTAAAACTTCTTCAATTATTTAAACTTTGAATCTACTTAGAAACTTTTCGACTAGGGTTTCTCAAGCCACGTTTGTCTACGAGCTTTACTTTTCTAGTTTAATCTGAAATATTTGACGAAATATTGTAAGAATTCAGAATTTTTTGGGAAATGTAGTTTGTAAACTGTAAATTTTATTGATGCTGAAATAATATACTGTGCAGCTGTAGTTGTTTAACAGTTCTGAATGGCCCACATACAGTACATCATAAACAAATGTAATTGTTCTCTTTTCCTAGTTTGCACTGGCACCAAAAATGCTCTGAGCTCCACGGGCACCCCAGAACAGCACTACAACAACCTTAAAGAGCGCTACACCGGATGTGAGATCGTCATGGGCAATCTTGAGATTACACAGATGGAGAATGACCTCGATTTCTCCTTTCTTGGAGTAAGAAGCTGTTTTACTTACCTGTATGGAGTGCTAAATGGTTGGTTTGGCCTTGAGATAACATGCTTGACTTTTCTTCTAGAGTATCCGAGAGGTCACCGGCTACATCCTCATTGCGATGAACCAGTTTCGCAAGTTACCTTTGAATCAGCTCCGAGTGATTCGTGGCAGCAGCTTGTATGACAAAGAATGGGCTCTTTCTGTCTTTCATAACTTTGACACTCACACTGGCCTGGAAGATCTGGGCCTCACCAACCTCACAGGTGAGATTGAGATCAGAATATAAAAATACACCTTTTCCTATGCTCCATGTTGCTTTGAGCAAATATTAGAACACATGACTTCTGTTAAGCTGTAAGCAATCAGAGAAGCGTAACCCCAAAATGTCATTGTAAGATTGTAAGATTCATTGTAATGTTTCTTATCTAATAACTTGGGATCAGATCACTGAATATGCAACATCTGGTAGTAACCGTAAATCTTTGGAGGAAATTTGGTCAAAATAACCTAAAGGTTTTTTTTCACACATATTTATCCCAATTTTATTGTTTTAAATTCTGCTTTCAGCCAAAGGTAGTGAAAAGTTTCAGACTCATAACACATAATTCACCACAAAATGAAAAATTCTGACTATTTATCCCCCTCAAAGTGGTTTTGAAAGATTTTAAAAGGTTTTGAAAGATTGACTTACCTAGTAGGTAGAATCAGGGTATCTCCCATCCAATCCAAACAACTAAAAAAGGAAAATGAAGAAAACGGCCACTTTTCCATTTTCGTTTGCTCACAAAAAACAAACGAAAAATAAATTTCGGCTCGATTTTTGTTTTTTTAATTTAGGGTAGGAAAACAGATAAACGACTTCAACATTTAATATACACATGTAGGCGGTGATAAAACGCCCATTTTCTTCTGATTGGGCAACCAAATCTGAGTTCTTGATGGTGCCCTCAAAATAAGAGGCCTTTGTGGACCAGCAGCCAGGTTTTTAATTATTATATTCTAAAACAGTGAATTAATGAACAAATTTTCAAAAGAACTAATTAAACACATACGTATAATTCATAATAATTAATATCTTGTTGTTCTGACTAACAGATGAGTTAGCTGTCTGTGCGTTGCGCTAAAAGTGAACTTGACATTTGCTCTTCGTGAGAAATACATTTACATTTACATTTTACATTTAGTCATTTAGCAGACGCTTTTATCCAAAGCGACTTACAAATGAGGACAAGGAACAACTTACACAACTATAAGAGCAACAATGAATAAGTGCTATAGGCAAGTTTCAGGTCTGTAAAGTCTAAGAAGGAAAGTATTAGTACTTTTTTTTTTTTTTTGGGTACAGTTAGTGTGATATCCAGAGAGGCAATTGCAGATTAGGAAGTGAAGTGGAGACTAAATAGTTGAGTTTTTAGTCGTTATAAAGTAGCGAGTGACTCTGCTGTTCTGATGCAGTTAGGGAGTTCATTCCACCAACTGGTCAGATTGAGCGTGAGTGTTCGCGAAAGTGATTTCTTCCCTCTTTGGGATGGAACCACGAGGCGACGTTCATTCACAGAACGCAAGTTTCTGGAGGGCACATAGATCTGCAGAAGTGAGAGCAGATAAGAAGGAGCAAGGCCAGAAGTCACTTTGAAGGCAAACATCAGAGCTTTGAATTTGATGCGAGCAGCAACTGGCAGCCAGTGCATAAATGTTGAAGCGCTACAGCGGGCCCAGTTCCATATTGCACATATAAATATTGCATATAGGCTATTGTACGGTGCTGCCAACTGTTTGCATTATATTTGATACATTTATTATTGCATGAAATAGTAGAAAAGGGAAGTGCGTTCGTAAAGTGAGTGATGCACACAGAAATCAGTGGACTATTCTGAATTAAGTTCTCTTAAACCTAATTCTGCTTAAATTGTAGAAAATCTTTAAAAATGACAGGACTTTAATCAAGTCTTTTTCATTTGGAGAATTACAGATAATAATAGCTTAGTCCGTATTAATGATCAGTTTATAAAATACATCATTTTTTGGAGTACTAAAGAATAAGACGAATGTGCAGTAACTATAATATTTTTATGCTTTATAGCTTTACAGCGTGTGCGTCAAAGATGTAGTCATTGATGTAAGCCTGCTAACTGATCAAATGACAGAATAAATAGGGCAATGTTACCAGCTGAGATTTGGTTGACTAATCAGAGGAAAATGGGCGTTTCAGCCCCGCCTGTGTATAATGAATTTTGAAGTCGTTGATTCATTATCCTACCCTAAATTAAAAAAAGATAAATAAAAATCGAGCCAAAATCTCTCTCTTTTTTTTTTTTGTGAGCAAAAAAAAAAGTTAAACGGCCGATTTCTTCATGTTCCTTTTATTTGTTTAAAAATGGATATGGATTGGACGAAAGACACCCAGATTAGGTAGGAAAAACAAATTCTATGGAAGTCAGTGGTTGCAGGTTTCAAGCTTTCTTCATAATATCTTCTATTGTATTCAACCAAAGAATGAAAGTCAAATCAAGTGAAGGGAGAGTAAATGATGACAGAATAGTCATTTATGGATGAACTATCCCTTTAACAGCGGTTTAAGAGAATGAAGTGGACAAAAGAAGTCACATATTCTGGAACTTCATTAAAAATGATGTTCATCCACTCTTTCTTATTGCCTGGATCAGAAGGAAAGCAATGCAAAGACTGTATTTTTTTCCCTCATACCTAATCACTTCACAGCATCTTGTTGTCTTTAGAGCATCTTTATCATATGGTTCCTACACAGGCCTGTTTTGCCTTTCTCATTGCTCATTATTCATTTTGAGTTCTCAGTTCATGATGTGTAAAGTCTTTGTGTAAACAGGTCACATGCATTCATCCAGTCAGTGACACAGACATTGCAGTTAAACAATGCAAATAAAGACATCATCCAGGTTTTATGTGCTGTGTGTCTGAAAACGTCAGCATACGAATACAGGATTAACTGATAACTTTAGTTAACCTATTTGCACCTTTAGGAGTTTTAGGAAACTTAGAAATCTCTTAAACCGGTGTTTAGAGGATTAACTAGTTCAAAGAATACTCTGAAGATTTGAAGTTATTAGTGATTCTGAACTCTGGGGAAGAAACTCAAATAATTAAAAAATAATTTGATATATTTATCCAACCTGAAAAAATCAGCAAAATGACTTAATTGTAAATATATATTTGTAATGGGTTTACATGCAAAAATAACTTTTGTCATTTAAATCATGAGCGCTTCCTTTAAGTGGAGCATTTATAATTCTTTGCCTTCTCAAAACAAATGGACATCATGATGGTTTGTTTGACAGTAAGTAAATTTGACATCAGTGATTTTGCGGAAATCTGTAGGAGTGTTTAGGAATCTGGCACATTTGCATTACTGTAGGTACAGGCACACCCATTGTCACTCAACAGAGCAGAAAGCTTTACAGACAGACTCTCAAAAAGAGTTTGAGCCTGGCAGGAAAATGTCTGTATGTTTTGTGGGTCACTTCATTTCAAACTGCATATTTGATATAATTTGGCTTGTTCAGACTCATCAGAGATGTCAAAGTGCACTGAAGAGCCACATATGTCTTTAGTATCTTACAATTTTTAAGCAATGCATAATAATCTTCCAAGACACTTCCAAGAACAACAACACATTTTTTATTCCCTCATGACTGAAAACTGAAAGGTAAAACTCAATTAAATTGACTGGTTATTGATCCGTTTTAAAATTCAGTATAAAGTGTTGTTATATGTTTTTAAATCTCTCCACGGACTGCAAAATTTATTTTGCTGTGTGTTTAAACTACTTATTTAAAATGAGCTAAAACAACACAATTCTTGAGAATCTTTGGAGACAATTGTTTTATGCTCAATTAACTTCAATTTGTTAGGTTAACTTAATTGATTTGTATTGGGACAGCATAAGTGAATTGTGTGGAACCCAGCATTTTTCACAGTGTAGACTGGCCCCTCAGTATATATCTGACCTAATTAGTCTACATCAACCCTTGAGATCTCTTCACTCTAAAAGAATCAGCTATGTCTGATAGTTCCTCAATCATGCTTGAAATGTAAAGGGCTCTCTATGGAAGCTCTTAGACTTTGGAATGATCTTCTACTGTCTTCGAGAATATGCCACAGCCATGCAGCCCAAGACCAGTTACTCACTGAAGCTAAGCAGGGCTGAGACTGGTCAGTACCTGGATGGGTGACCACATGGGAAAACAAGGTTGCTGTTGGAATTCGTGTTAGTGAAGCCAGAAGGGGGCGCTCAACCTGCGGTCTGTGTGAGTTCTAATGCCCCAGTATAGTGAAGAGGACGCTATACTGTCAGCGTGGGAGCGCCGACTTTCGGATGAGACGTTAAACCGAGGACTCTCTGTGATCATCTCATGGCACTTCTGAGGGATGTAACCCCGGTGTCCTGATCAAATTCTCTCCATCGGCCCTTACTAATCATGGGCTTCCAATCATCCCCATCCACTGAATGGGCTCTATCGCTGTCTCTCCACTCTCCCTATTGCTGGTGTGTAGTGCACTGGCGCCGTTGTCCTGTGGCTGTCTTCACATTATCCAAGTGGATGCTGCACACTGGTGCTGGTGTGGAGAGACCCCTCCCTCATGATTGTGAAGTGCTTTGGGTGTATGGCCATACACAATAAATGCACTATATAAATAGATATTACTTACTTACTTAGTAATATCTCCTACTTTGGAGACATTTCAGAATTAAAACACTTGTATGTTGTGTTTTTATGTACAGCACTTTGGTTACCATTGTGGTTGTTTAAAAATGCTTCAAAGATCAAATTAAGTAAGTTAGGTAAAATAAATTGTACATTTTTGAACATATATAAATGTTAGACAATACTTTAGACAAGCATAAGTACAAACCGGTGTAGTTCCCCCTGTGTGCAATTTGTTATCTGCATAAAATAAATCAGCTTTTTTTTCTCTGTGTCTGCAGAGATCTTGGAAGGTGGAGTACAGATTGTCCACAACAGGAACCTCAGCTATGCTCCATTGATCAACTGGCAGGACATTGTCAGAGACGGTGACGCTCGCATCCAGATCCAGGACAATGGAGGAAGAGGTTTGTGTTCACATCTTGATTGTATGAGTGTGAGAGATAAATGTGTCATGAAATTATGTTTTGATATTCTGAAAAAAACCCACACAAAATAAAGATGTTCTGAGCTACCATAAAGATATCATCAAAAAAATGCACTTCAGTTTAAGTTTTTTTTTTCCTCTATAAAAAATCGCAAATTTTATATAGAAAACTAATTTTGAGAGGATCACTTGCTTATGATTGACTATGGCAGGCCCCCATTAGCTATCACATGATACACCAATCAGATGATTACTAAAAAGAGCCAGATTTCCTTGCCTTAGCCAACTTCATCTTGAAGAATCCCCCCATCCTCCCCTACTCCTTCCTCTCTTTTTTAACTAAATAGGGGGGAGCTCTCAAGACCTACCTCAGCTCAGACTCCCCTCTCACCTGAAGAAACGGGAGATTTGAGGTTTTTCCGAGCACAGGGCTCTCTCCAGGGACAGCATGCCAAACTCGCTCCTACTTATCAACTATTAGCTAAGTGTTAACTCTTGAAAATCACTAAAAACAGTAGGGAACCAATAGAAACGGCCAAACATTGTAAATCAAAAGAAGATATTCATCTGTTGTTGAGGTTCATCATTTAGATATTTGGCTTCTTTCTGTGTTTTATAGGGTCCTGCAATCCTGCATGTGGAGAGTTTTGCTGGGGTCCAAGTAATGATCAGTGTCAGAAATGTGAGTAACTGGTATTAATTCATTTAGTTATTCATTTTGGTCACTTTATTTTATTAACAAACCATCAACTTTAAACTTTTAGCTCAATAAACTATTAACTTGGTGCTATTAATTGTTAATAGTTTGATTTGGGTTTTCGGATTAGGATGTAGAATTAGATCATACTTTGTAAATACTAATGAACAGCAAATGTTTTAATAAAAAGTAGGTAATAAGCAGGTAATTGGGGATTGGTACTTAAAACAAAGTATTACAATATTTTTATTCATTTTTAATATCAAATTTTTTGATGTAGTGTTTTTGAAAGAACACTTACAACACAATAATTTTCCATCCGTTATTGCTTGTTAATGTATTTACTATAAAAATAAGAATAAACAATACTTGTGCAGCATTTATTAATCACAGTTCAACATTTACTAAAGCATTTAAAAAATCTAAAGTTGTGCTTGTTAACATTAATTAATGCAGTGTGAGTTCACTTTATTTTCATTACTGTACTGTGCTGACTCATACTGTAATAAATGTACTGCTCATTGTTCATTATCATCATTATCATTTTTTGATTCATGTTTGTATTTTATTTTTTCCCCTTTTATTTATGCTTTTGAGTTGCATTATAGGACCTTGATCCTTCTTTAACAACCTTTACCCTTAAAAAGTTGGAAAAAGCGATTTTTGTTAACATTTTTAATAGTTCAAAGTGATTTATTGACTGGTTTGGTGTTGTATGTTATTCTACAAAAAACCTTGTAATAAACTTTCACTACATTTTCTGTTATGTTACAGACTAGTTTTTGTATATATTATTTCTTATACATAATATTTTTACAGTATTAAAATGTCAATAAAAGTCACTTTGTTAAAGTGTAGAGTTAGATTTTCAACATCAAATGTCGACAGAAGGATCGACATCCCATAATGCAATTCACAACCGTAAATAAACAGAAAACACTTTTACAGTGTAAAATCTATAAATAAATAAATAAATATTCCATTTTATAATAAATTACAATATAATAGTTTAATTTTAATAGATTGTCTCGGTTTCCCTTTACCTGTAGTCATACACAATGATTCTGAGTTATTTTTGTCTTTGTGTGTTTCAGTGACTAAAACAGTATGTGCACTTCAGTGTCTGGGCCACTGTTTCGGCACCAACCCTAATGAATGCTGCCACCCCGAGTGTGCTGGAGGCTGCACTGGACCCAGGGACACAGACTGCTTTGTGAGAACCAGCATTACTGCCATTACACTCTGATTGCATTGCTCAAGATCTATTGTAAGAGACAAGACAATGAAAGCCAAACAAACCTTTTAATTCTTTTTATTATTTTCCCCCAACAGGCCTGTCGACATGTCAATTACTCTGGCTCCTGCGTCCCTCACTGCCCTTGGCCTGTGGTCTACAACCAACAGACCTTTCAGGTGGAGCCCAATGCTGATGCCATGTATCAGTTCGGTTCCATCTGTGTTCCTAAATGTCCCGGTGAGTTACGAGCCGTTACACACAGTTTACCACAGAACAGACCTTCGCTAAAGCATGGGGTGGAAAATATTTCTAACGTAATGGGAGCTTGGTGGATAAAGATCTAGGATTGTATTATAGAAATCACTTGTTGTAAGCCTGGTGGAACTGATGTGTAGGCTAGTAAGTGAACTGTGGATGAACGCTGGATGATATGCCTCATTGACAGTACATCAGAACTGCAGTGCCGTATCCATGGAGGATCATGAACTGCATGGTAAACATGACACAAGTTTAAACAAACAGCAGATTGTAATGATGCTACGCAACTCGTCTGACCATGTTTAAATTTTAGATTCAATTTGTGGCTGCTGAGTCCAAAATTAACACTCGCTAAACACCACTTGCGTTGGCGTTATAGAATAAATAATGTTGTCTGGAGATTTTTTTAGGAATGATTACGTATAACATGGCTTTTAAAACTGCAATGTGTGATTGCTAGTTTGACTTTGGTGTTTATAAAACAAAATAAATGAACAGATCAATTTAGATAAACAAAAAATATACAAAACATGCAAACCATAAATAACAGCTAAAAATATCTTAAACGAACTCTTGGGGGAAAAAAAGTATTTATGTTTTTAGAAATATAAGATACACACTTTTATTTCTGAGATACCGAAAGACTTATTATAGTTAAATGTTTTCAGAATTTGCCAATAAGTTACATTATTTAATCAATTACAAAGGAAGTTACATTAAGTTCTACATAGCAAAACAAAGACTAAAATTGTAAATGATCAAACATTGAGTACGTTTACATGGATACCAATAATGCAATTTTATTACGATTAAGACAATACTCTGATTAAGAGTCTACCATGTAAACTGAGATTTATGATTAATTTAATCCAATTAAGGTCATAATCGAACTGAACAGAAATCGGAATAAGACATGTGGAGTAAGCTGATTTTGGTCGCATTATTGAAGTGCAGTACAGACATGTAAACACCATTATCAAACTATTACCTTCGTCTAGGATTTTCGCCGAAATTTGCGACTGGATATTCCATACATACACGCCTGTTTGACACTATTCTCTGCATTTACCGAGTCAGTGAAGGACCACAGACACCTGAATCATGAAATGCAGAGTTTTTTTTCCATACGGTGTGCGGCATCAAAATTTCTTAAAACAACACTCTTCCAGCAGTTCATACTTGCATCCAATATCTCCTTTGCCACAGGAGGCATACATGAAACGCTTCTGAATTAAAGTGAAAGTGCCAAACTGTAGTTAAAGTCAACAAACTGAAAATTAAACACTCGAAATAACATGAAAGTCTGGAGGAAATAAGGATTGCGTGCTAATGCAATGACGTAAATCGAATTATGTAAAACGAGATCATGAAAGGAACATTTAAAAAGCAACTCATGTAAACTCCTTAATCATATTATTGTCTCATTCAGATTAAGGCAAATATATTGACTACTGGTAGACTTGATAGTAGTCACTGATTTATTTAAAACTTAGTAAATTTATTTATACAGGTCAATAGCTAGCAAAAGTAAATCCAGAAAACTACTTAAACAAAATAAAAAGATTGAAAAAAATATTAAATTATATTTTAATTGTTTTTTTTTCTTTAGAGATGCCAAAAGTCTTCTACAGAAAACTAACACTGAAAGAAAAGAAATTGCTGTAGAAACAACATTTACAGAATGTTCTACTAAATAATAAAATTGAAGAGTTCAGATGCACAAACCTCTAAGTGCCATCCATTTTTTTTTCTAAAATGAGCATTTTTCTCAGCCAGCTAATTTTATGTTGTTATTTTCAATTCATCTTTATTTATATAGTGCTTTTACAACATAGATTGTGTCAAAGCAGCTTAACATAGAAATTCTATTCAATTGAAATTGAAACATTGTCAGTCTAGTTTTTAGAGTTTAGGTTCAGTTTAGTTCAATTCAGTTTAATTTTCACTGCTGAAAGTCCAAATACTGATGAGCAAATCCATCTATGCGCAGCTCTACAAGTCCATTTATTGCCTTCATTTCACCTTAAAGGCAATAAATATAACCTATTCAAGATCATAAAAGTCAAATTACTGAACCTACACATAGGAACCTGAGAAAAATGCACATTTTAGAGGAAAATGTTAGATGGAACTTAGAAGTTTTTGCATCTGAACTCTTCAATTATTAACAAAGAAAAAGCATCCTATTAAATGAAATGTAAAATTTGTATTTATCAACACCGAAATAGTGTTTTTATATGTATAAAATATGCACCAACAATTTCACTTTACATCGCTCTTATCATGGGGAAACATCCAATGCACACACATAGCAGCTCTGCACCTCTTGCACCAAGTTGCACTTTAGACACTTTCTTAATCACTCCATGTCTCTGGAAACACTGTGCATTTCAAATTGTACTTCATACTGGTGAGTGGGCTTGACAAACCCCCTATAGAAACACTCTTCTCTCTTATGCACCTAACACTTTATCTGAACTCCCTCTTAAATAATGAATAATAATGAAAACAATGTTTACTATAAATGTACCACAATCATGTTGCACTCCTTGCTTTAACCTTAAATAACTCTTTTGCACAATATTCACCTTTAATACATCTCTTGCACAATATCCTGCACTTATGGTTAATTTATGTACCACTGTTGTCCTGTGAGACACGACATTTCGTTCCTCCGTATGTCCACACCTGTAGCGGAATGACAAAAAAAGCTCAACTTGACTTGACTTGCATGTATGTGTTATCTCTTTAATACCACTAGTATATAAATCAACGGTTAGTCATGCAAAAAGATACAGTGCAGAACATAAAATGAATGACCTTTTCTCTTATTTTCCTTCAGGGCACTTTGTTGTGGATGGCAGTGCATGCGTGAGCAGTTGTCCTCCCGGTAAAACAGAAATAGAGAAGAATCAAATTAAACAGTGTGAGACCTGCATTGGCCTGTGTCCCAAAGGTAAAGTGTCCATCCAGCCTATTTTAGATTGCTGGACTACAGCAGCTGAATGCAGCAAACTTAAAATACTTGGAAGGAAAACAAAATCTGTTATTTTGTGATATTTTCTCATTCTATGTATAGTATGTGAGGGAACTGGAGCCAATCACAGACAGACAGTGGACTCCAGTAACATTGACAGCTTTATCAATTGTACCAAGATCCAAGGAAGTCTACATTTTCTGATCTTAGGTATCAAAGGGTAAGACACACACATAAACATACCTGATAAGTGCTCACAGACTCGAACAACACTATGCCATAAACAGACTGCCCTATATTCCAGACCTTTACCCTGTAATGTCATCAACAACTTTAAAGAGGACATGGACTGAGAAATCAAAATTCACTTGAACTTTTGACCTATAAGAGGTTATTGTACTAAAGCTTAAGAGCAATGAACAGCTTATATTAAAGGCAACCGGTTAAAATGACAGGTTGCGAATGTGCCACTTAATTTTGTCTGTGGCTAAACTTTGCCTCCACAGAATGAAATCAACATCTACTTTTTTATGAATATTTTTTATGGGTTTTCAGATTTAATTAATAAGACAGTAGAGAGTAGGTGGGAATCATACTCTGACCGTCGTGAATGAGTGCCATGTGTCGACACAATAATCACTATACCATTCGCACTGACAACATATACTTTCAATATCAGAATATCACTGCCGGTTTAGCTCCACACATCGATATGTGCTCTAGTATGTATGTAAATAACAAGAGTCATTTTTGATCATGGATTTTTTACCATGGATCATTTTAGTTGTTTTATAGTGGATTTTTATGTGAACAATTCGACTGGATTTTCAGAAAGATTGCAACTGAAACACAATAATATTCTATAAAATGCAGTTTTGTCACTAGTAGTTTGAGTAACTATCTTTATTTTATCTCATAAAGTGTCACCGCTGCTTTGTAGTTTGATTTGTACTCAGTATTTATGCATTTAACGTGAATCGCTCAGCGTCTGTCTAAGAAAGTATGTGTTGAATATTATATTGGTGGTCTTTCCAATTTTTGAAAAGTTAAAAAGGTTGAGTCAATCTACCATACTCTATACATTATTATTATAAAAACTTGAGTTTTTTATGTAAACATTGTGATAACATTATAAGTAGACATAAATTTCATTTTTAATGTATCTATTATTTTGAATTATTCATTTACCCATGATTGACAGGCATGCACTAAATTCCAGGGGTTTCATTACCACGACGTAAAATGGGCGTGGCCTGGTCGGTGTTAGGGAAACGCCCCCTTTAAAAAAAAACCCAATACTGAGAGGTCACCGATCATGCGCAGTACAGGTTCTTTTTTAGCACGGTCATTTCAAACAGGATGATAATGGATAAAGAACCTACCGCGGTGGATAACGAGGGAAAAAAACAATCATACAGGTTATTTTTTGTTTTTATAATGTTATATTTTAAAGATTTCATTAGCAAAAACAGCTGACCTCGTTTTACTCCGTTTTACTGTCTCTGGGCTTTTGTATATAAAAATATAAAAGTGATCATACATGAAACCCCTGAGATCAGGACAGGTATTTGATGTTACTGTATATAATATAAAAGTGATCATACATGAAACCCCTGAGATCAGGACAGGTATTTGATGTTTCTGTATATAATATAAAAGTGATCATACATGAAACACCTGAGATCAGGACAGGTATTTGATGTTACTGTATATAATATAAAAGTGATCATACATGAAACACCTGAGATCAGGACAGGTATTTGATGTTACTGTATATAATATAAAAGTGATCATACATGAAACCCCTGGGATCAGGACAGGTATTTGATGTTACTGTATATAATATAAAAGTGATCATACATGAAACCCCTGGGATCAGGACAGGTATTTGATGTTACTGTATATAATATAAAAGTGATCATACATGAAACACCTGAGATCAGGACAGGTATTTGATGTTACTGTATATAATATAAAAGTGATCATACATGAAACCCCTGGGATCAGGACAGGTATCTGATGTTACTGTATATAAAAGTGATCATACATGAAACCCCTGAGATCAGGACAGGTATTTGATGTTTCTGTATATAATATAAAAGTGATCATACATGAAACACCTGAGATCAGGACAGGTATCTGATGTTACTGTATATAATATAAAAGTGATCATACATGAAACACCTGAGATCAGGACAGGTATCTGATGTTACTGTATATAATATAAAAGTGATCATACATGAAACACCTGGGATCAGGACAGGTATCTGATGTTACTGTATATAATATAAAAGTGATCATACATGAAACACCTGGGATCAGGACAGGTATCTGATGTTACTGTATATAATATAAAAGTGATCATACATGAAACACCTGGGATCAGGACAGGTATCTGATGTTAACTAATATAAAAGTAATTATACACGAAACCCCTGAGATCAGGACAGGTATCTGATGTTACTGTATAGAAAAGTGATTATACATGAAAACCCTGAGATCAGGACAGGTATCCGATGTTACTGTATATATAAGTGATCATACATGAAACCCCTGGCATCAGGACAGGTATCTGATGCTACTGTATATGATATATAAAGTATTTGAAACAAAAGCCGTGGGATCGGGACAGGTATCTTAAGTTATAACAGTATTAATGTAATCTGAGAGGTATCTTAAGTTAATTTGTTTAATATAACATACACTGACTTCACATGAAACACCTTCGATCAGGACAGCTATTTTGTACTGCATATAAAAGGCATTGGACACGAAACCCCTGCGAATACGTTCAGGTATCTGAATCAAACGGCTGTTTTCACAATCGCATGATCCGTGACCTATGCAAATTCACAGATAGGCCACGCCCACCCGATGACGTAGTAGTGGTTACGCTGTACTGAAACCCCTGGAAAAAAGTGCCTGCCATGATTGACAGGCTACTTTCATCCTATATATAAATCTGACATATGAAAATTACATATATGCCATACAAGTTTATATTTGGATTTCACGTTTATAGGTAGGGTGGCTCAGTAGGTAGCGATGTCGCCTCATAGCAAGAAGGTCGCTTTCTGAAGAATTTCTGTGTGGAGTTTGCATGTTCTCCCCGTGTTTGCATGGGTTTCCTCCAGGTCCTCCGGTTTCCCCCACAGTCCAAAGACTTGGATGATCTATTGGTAGTGTGTGTGTAATTGTGAGAGAATATGGGTGTTTCCCAGTACTGGGTTGCAGCTGGAACGACATCCACTGTGTAAAACATTTGCTGGAATAGTTGGCAGTTCCTTCCGCTGTGGTGACCCCTGAAAAATAAAGGACTAAGCCGAAGAAAAGTGTATGAATGTTTACATGTTTACATTTTTTTATATATGGTTTTTCAATCACTGGAATTACAAAAATGTACTTATTTGTTACAATATATTAGAAGTTATTGCTAATTTATTTGAATATATAAATACATTTTTGCTATTCCAACACTAAAAAAAAAACGACTTTTGTTGCTTGTTCAAATTATTTATTTTTAAATGAGCTGAAACACAATTCTTAATTGTTTTGTGTAAAATCCAATTAAATTTGTAAAAATCAATTTAGCTAACTTATTAGATTTGTGTTGTGATAACATAAAGGCAAGTTTTTTTTCACACATTTTTATGCAGTGGCAGTTTAAAGGGCTTTACATAAACAGGAATACAAGTGTATAAGAAAATAAAAAAATAATAACAGTGATTAAAACAGGTTAAAATGTGTTAAAACAGCTCATAAAAGAATGAAAAAGAAAAAAAGACATAATAGTGCAATCTGTTGGACATAGGACAGTGCTTATTTAGTAAAAGCAAGTCTTTATTTGAATGTGCCTAATGTTGGAGCACACCTGATCATTTCTGGAGGCTGATTTTAGCAGCAGGAGGTTCGAATGAAGTCTTGAAATTTCCAGTGAAGCAAGTAATTGTGTGTGTTTTTGTTGTTTTTTTTAGCAACTGCCATTTTTACAATGTTTTACAATATGTGTTGCATATATCTCATATTTTGTATATATGGGAAATCCATATGAACTTGTTTGTTACATGCGTAATTTGCATATATTGCCATACATCAGGTTTGTGTATTTGATAGCATTTCAGAAATTGTTCATATATATTTGCATTACATAAGCAAAGACTTTAGATTTACAAAGACAGTGTATTTTTATTACTTATCAATAGGAGAAAATTTCACAATTGACTGTGTGCAATGATAGTTTAAAGGGGACTGTGATCTATAAGATGGTCTGGAATATAAGTCACTCCATGTTGCATAAAAAAAAACTCAGCATATTCTAGAAATTACGGTAATTGGAAAATAAACAGAGTAGATTGATGAGCGCCCACAGGGTCTCCATTACGGTGGTTGTTTATGCTAATATCTGCTCTCTTCTGTTCTGCAGAGACGTCTATAATAACATACCACCTCTGGAGCCTGAAAAACTCAAAGTGTTTAACACAGTCAGAGAAATTACTGGTATGCTTCCTTTACACCGACTGCTCTCTGTTTGTGTTCTTGTTGCTGTAGTTTTTGTTACGTCGGGTTGTGACTCAGCTGTGTGTGTGTGTTTGATTTGTAGGTATTTTGAACATTCAGTCTTGGCCCGATGAACTCCATGATCTATCTGTTTTCTCTAGTCTCACTACCATTCAGGGAAGATCTCTGTACAAGTAAGACTGTGTGTTTAATATGTGAATTAAGTGAGTTTGTGGTAATGTTTTTATGGGAATGTATTAAAAACAATTCCTCATTCACTCAATTTATTTGGGGTTGGTAAGATTTTTTTTTCTTTTACAAAATTCTCCCCAATTCTTTGTTTATTGGATCAGGCTAATATTGGAACAATATTGTCATACTAATTTCTTTTTTTTTTAACGTTTATTCATAAATGTACTGTAAGTCACTAATGCTGTAATTTTAAAAGCACTAATAATATGATACTAATAATATACTAATTATATAATAAAACATTGGTAAATGTAATTTTAGAACATTTTCAATATTTAAAGAGCCCATATTTTGCAATATAAAAGGTCATATTTTGGTTTTGGGGGTCTTCAACAACAGACTGATATGAATACAAGGTCAAAAAACACTTTCAATGGCTTATAATATGCATTTATTTTTGCCTAATTATCCCGACTCCCATATGATTAGTTCAGCGATTCATTTGTTCGCAAACCCCTCCTTAGCGAGAAGCTAATCTGCACTGATTGGACCGATGACCCAGTCTGTTGTGATTGCAAGTGCAAAAACAACTACACTCAATCAGTATTGTTCCACACAGTGGCAAAAGTTGAGCTATCACTGCGCGTGTGTGTAGGAACGGCTGATGGTGGCCACAATAAAGAGAAACGGCAGAGGATCGCGAGTTTAAAAACACTATTAAATCGGTGAAGGTAGAAGCACACGGCACATTTTCAGTGTGGTTTTGGACGCAATATGTAAACAGCCCCATAAAGATTTAACCTGAGAGATACAGTACAAGCACTTATCTATAATAGATTACGATACTATTATTGATTTATATTAGTGATTATAAGCCGCGCGGGTAGATTACAACTTACAACACATAATTAACCATATTTTGCAAACTACACAAATCGAGGCAACAATGTTATGATCCGGAGGAAGAAGAAACTGGTCTATATAAACTGTAACAGTTACTGACAAAGTCCTTGTCAATGTCTGACAGTCCCTTACATAATAGTCTCTGCTGCTCCTTCCTTTAAAAGCAAACAGCCAGCAAATCACGTGCTGCAGGGAGGATTATTGTATCAAAAATCAGAAAAATGACAGGAACAAACACAGCACACGGTTGGTTATTTAACCTGTTATTCACCGCAGCCGAATCTCCATCTGTCAGTGATCATCATCTTTGTGTCATGATCAGTTCCGTGATCCCCTGCGCTCCGCTAGTGTCTGAGGAGAAAGCGTGTTCACATTTATCAGATCAGGAACTACATATTTGGTGATGTACCATGTTGACGTTGATGCGTTCAAGCAAAAGTTTCAAACAAAACTCAATTAGAAGAATCAATAGTTTTAAACACGGTGCACTTTTAGATTTAAACCTCAGCTGGATGTCTTCATTCACTTAGTGCTGTTACACACTGCAAATAAGGTCATTTTTAAAAACCCATAATACGGGCTCTTTAGAATAGAAAATGCAACATCATTTGTGATGCTAATGTGCAATTGTTGCTATAAAATGTTTTATATTTTATTTATAACTTCAAATTGCTTCAGAATTGATTATAAATAATCAATTTATCTGTTTTTTCATTCATTTTGGACCCTATGTTTTATTTTGTGTGTCATATCCCAATCAATATTCCCCAATAGTCCCCATGTTTGATTAATCCTTAAAAAGTATGTCTCTACTAAATGTTTGCTTGTGTTTTATTACATTATTGTTTAACATCATGCATGCATCTCAATGTTGTTTTTTGTGTTCCCTGTGTTTTGTATGTTACTCCCCTCATTCTCCACGTGCTTGTATCTGTCCCTGCAGTCCTAAGAGGTATGTACTGTGATCCCTCCAACCTGCAAAAAACTAACTGTACTGTCTGTATGGCCAACTTTCTCAATCACATTCACAAACAATGTCTTTTTCCTGCTTTTGGTGCCAAATAATGACGACAGTATCCTTGATGAGTTGTGAAATGTTTCTTTAAGAATAACAGGGGCATGTATGAGCACATATTCAAACTGATGAAGGTCACAGATGGTTCATCTGCTTTTATTTGTGATCTTGCACTGAGTGCCTATGCGGGTGTTGAAATACAGTGCTGCAGCCTTGATGTTAGAAGAGTAACCTACACAAAATAAACAATGTCAAGTCTCGAGGTGAAAATGCCTTTCTTTACTTTCAATTGAACATAATGAAAGTAATATTAATACAGACGCAGAAATTATGTGATGATGGGGAACAATATAGGTGGGAGTAAAAAAATGAGTGATGTATGTATGTATTAAAAATTTTATTATTTTACAATTTTTGCGTTCCCTCGCAAAGATGTTTTGCGTTCCCTCGCAAAACTGTTGTTCCACAAAGACTTCCTGTTCACTTCATATATGTCCAAGCCTCCTGTTTTTGCCAGGATTCTTCTGTATTTTACCATTCTGTCCGCTATCATCCTATCATTAAGTATTTTTCCATATTTCTCCCATATTTTAATCTTGAAAGCACGATGGAATTAATATAAAAATGTCTGCATTCACTTTCTATCCATTAAAGCTGTGCGTCAATTGTCGCCCTTCTTACGCAACCTCTGAATCAGCGAATGCATGTATAAGCACTGACTGATGGACATGCTCCGTTTGATAAACTGATCCCAGGGGCCTGTTCCATAAACCAAGCTTAGAGAAAAAGCCAGACTTCTTTTGGTAAGTCAGGTTTATTAATGGCAGACTCGATTTCATGAAACAAATTTACGATAGTTCAAAGTCAGTTACTCAGGCAACTTATGCTGGGAAACTATCCTGGTCATGGGCAGGTTAACTCTCAGGCTAAGTCTTAAGTTCAAGCTTAATCAAAGTAATGTTAACGTTCACTTGCCGTATTTTGATGCCAATTTGATTCACTTAACCTTTTAATTATGATTAAAACTGTATAGTCACTTAATAGTATATATGTATACACCAAACATCTTTAGGAATAAAATATATTTAAAAATATATTTAAATTCAAATAAGTTATTGCAAACAAAACAAATACAAACTACAAAATTTCAACCACATTTCATATTTTTTAATGTTCATGTTGAATTTTTTTTTCTGTTAATTAAAATTTTATTTAATAATGTCTTAATAATCTCTAAATAAACTCTTTAATTGCTCTTTCATCATAGTTGCCATGGTAGCACACAACATAATTGATGTATCTATGCTCGACCTTTAAGGTTTCACGACAATAACATGCACGAGCTGTTATCTAGATTATTTAAACTGAACACAGATTAAATAGATCAAATCTTTAACTTGCTGTTATGGAACCAATTCAAGCGTGGATGTTTAGTTCAGCTCATTGAAGTCAGGTTTTTTACTTTAATCCCTGCTTTTCTAAACCCCTTTTATGAAACAGACCCTAGATCAGCTTCTCTAGACACCTCTGTTATCAAACAAAAAAAAATGAGAGATTCATATGCTGCACTTCACTTGTTTGATAGCAGAGTTGTCACTTTAAGAATGCACAGATCTATAATGAAAGCATTTAATTACTTTAGTAACTGTTTGCGCTCACTCAAAAGAATGAGTTGCCTTCACAAGAAAACACGCAGGACTGACCTGTTTACATATCATTAAGTGTATGTTAGCTCCTCTTTAAATACCCTGTGCAGAAGCTGATCAGGGATCAGTTTATCATACGGAGCGCATCCATCAGTCCGTAGTTATACATACATTCACTGATTCAGAGGTTGCATTGGAAGGGCAACAATTGACGCACAGCTTTAATGGAAAGAAAGCAAATGCAGACATTTTCATATTAATTTCAAAGTGCTTTCAAGATTAAAATATGGGAGAAATATGGGAAAATACCTTATAATAGGAAGATAGCAAGATAGAATGGCAAAATGTGGGAGAATCCCTGCAAAAACTGGAGGGTTGACATGTATGAAGTAAACAGGAAAACATCTTTGTTTTCCTCCGCAAAACATTTTCCTATAACCCAGTTTTTTTTTCTTTCACCCATGTTTTCCCACCATCATATCCTTTCTGAGTCTCCATATATTAATAATATTCTCTGAGCACAAACAAGTTACTTTAAATAACTAGCCTCTTTTGTTAAATCGCTAAATACCTTCTCAATTGTAAGTCGCTTTGGACAAAATCATCTGCTAAATGAAATATAAATGTAATATTAAATATAATCCTGGCTCTTAACACCTTGGTAATGACAGAGATGCAGATGTAATGGCAATACATCCACCTATCCATCATAAAAGTGAATCCTAAAGCAAATTGATGGGATAAGAAAATTGTACATGTTTGATAACTTCCATATATCTAATTATGCGAGAGTAAAGTTGTGATGCATAATGATGTAGGCATTAAAACAGAAGCTAATGTAAAAACTAATGAACAGAAATGCAGAGGATGAACAAAACAAAATGCACTTAAAAATCTTCCAGTGAAATTTAATCTTCTGGATATTGACGTCACCGCTGCAGCACAGTATACTATGTGTTTATGTTTGTGTCTAGCATCGGCTACACATTAAAACCAAAAGATGCTTTTGGCTTAAGTTCTTAATGGAAACCACTCTTCCTTTATTCTTCCTCGATTTCTCATTGATTTCATTCTTCACACCAGGCCATTCTCTTTGTTGGTGATGAAGATTCCCTCCCTCACATCTCTAGGACTGCGCTCCTTGCGGGAGATCAGCGACGGCAGTGTATACATCACTCAAAATATGAACCTGTGTTATCACCACACCATCAACTGGACACAGATCTTCCCACGTAACCAATTGCAACGCAGACGTAACGACATCAAGGAAAACAAACAAAAGATCCAGTGTGGTGAGTTAAGTTCAGCTCAAATAACTTACAGTATCAGTTAGCTCTTCCCCTCTATTGCGAATGAGCCAATGGCAGTTGAGTACCAGTTGCACAGAGAGTAGAACTCCCGCATCTTCGGATTTGGTGATGTTTGTGCTGTAGTAATAGTTCTACATTGTGCCTGAGGCATTTCTAACACAGATTCCAGGTATCCTGAGAGTATGGTCAGGGTTTGTCCCTTCAAAAATTCATTTCAATTTATTACCAAAACAAGTCAGTTAGCGTCACCTAAATCTGTTTAATCACATTGGTATGTAGAAACACATCATCTGCCTCAGGTAAGTTAGATAGTAAGCACTAAATTTAGCTAGCTCATGCTTCATTTATTCATTCATTCATTCATTTTCTTTCAACTTAGTTCCTTATTTATCAGGGGTCGCCATAGCAGAATGAACCGCAAACTATTTGAGCATATGTTTTTCACAGCGGATACCCTTCCAGTCGCAGCCCAATACAAACACTCATACTCTATGGCCAATTTTGTTTACCCAATTTAACTTTGGACTGTTGGGGAACCGGAGCACTCAGAGTAAACCCACAAGAACAAAGGCACAACAAGCAATATCTACAGAGAAATGCCAACTGGCCCAACCAGGACTTGAACCAGCAACCTTCTTGTTGTGGGGTGACACTGCTAACCACTGAGCCACTTTTTTGAAGATGAGCCACCACTGATCCACTCATGCTAGCTGAACCTAATCACCACTAGGAATTTGAGTTAAATGTAAATGAATTAAATCTTACATTGCAATATATGAACAGTGCTGATCCTAAATGTGACGATAGTAACACAAGACTTCTCACGTCTGATCTCTTACTTTTTAGATCACTTCCTAATCAAAATCATGTTAGCGATCATTTTTAGCATATGTTGTATGCAACACAGGCTCATTGTGAAAACATACTCCTGTACACATTTCTGGAGAGCGCGGATTATGTAGACAGATATACGTACGGCTGCATTTCGTCTTTAAAACAAACTCTATGGGGTGGTATGATGCCACCGATGGCGCTGCCAGCTGACCACCTAACTCCGTGTGAATGGCTTTACCGCTGATACCAGTTTGCTCAGTAGCTCGCCACGTACGTCAGCAGACTTGAGACGCAGAGAGGAGTTGACTGCGATGATGGGGTTCGAGTCCAGTGAATAACGAAAGAAAACAAAAGGCAAAAAATAAAATAAACAAGTAAATAATAGGAAGAGAGTGTGGTAAGATCTGAAAACATGGTAAAAATTAGGCGGTCATAAGAGCTTTTCTTTTTCTGGGTTGCTTTTGAAAACACTGTCAGGTGAGTTTAGGGAAGGTGGTGGGTGGAGAGATCGGTTTGTCGGTCAATAGTGAGTCAATAGCAGCCACTGGTAGCTTTACACAAGAACAGCAGGCATGAATGGCACTCGCGAGAGAAATTTGAGATCTCAAAAAGCGTACACAGCAACTTCTGGTGCATTTTCGAAAACAAAAACTGCAAAAAAAAAAAAAAAAACGCACCTCCTGGGATGTATTTTGCGAGCTCCAGAAATGTATATATGGTTATGTATCAATAACGAGCCTCGGTTGCTTGTATGTGCATCTATCTGTACATTTTTAAGTCCTGAATGTACCTCAACAAGTAGTGGTCTGTCTATGTCCAAAATGTATCAAAAATATAATTGAACATGGTTTTCACCCTTTCACAGACGTCTTTGTAAAACAGTTAGTAAACAGTATGTAACTAAAGGGATTGCGGAGCTTACTGATAGATCAGATTTGTACTATTTGTTTCACATATGTATCTTGTTATTTTGTGATCCACCATTACCTTGTACACAAACAGTCTGTTGGTTTGCATCTGTGTGTTTGTGTAAACAGAGGAAGAGGGCCATGTGTGCGACCCGTTGTGTTCAGACGCAGGATGTTGGGGCCCGGGGCCTGAGCAGTGTTTGTCATGCAGGAACTACAGTCGGCTCGGCACCTGTGTGTCTCACTGTAACCTCTACTACGGGTCAGTGTTAGTTAGTTATTTTTTTATAGTTATTAAATGTTGGGTCGGCTTCTCAAGGATTGTGTGTGTGTTTGTGTCCACAGAGAGCCGCGGGAGTTTGCAGCATCTAATAAGGAGTGTCTTGCTTGTCACTCAGAGTGTCTGTTGCAGAATGGGAAACAAACATGCCTAGGAAAAGTATGCAGCAGTTTTACTTTGATTTTCGCTTCTTTTAGTTTTGCTTTTGCTATCTATGGTGGTCCAGTCAGGGTTTTCTGTTAACTTATACTATAAAGGTTTTAAGTTGTTTTGTTAATTAAAACAAAGCTGGAGAATAAAAAAACAGAAATATTCATTAAAAAACTAAAAGTTAAGTTAAGTTAAGTTAAGTTAAGTTAAGTTAAGTTAAGTTAAGTTAAGTTAAGTTTTAAATATCATGTAAATTTTATATATTTTTAGAAATGGAAAATAAAAATCAGAAAAAAAAAAAAAACTAAGTTAAGTTAAAGGTTACGTTGAAAGTTAAGTTAAAAGTTAAGTTAAACATTAAGTTAAAAGTTAAATTAAAAGTTAAGTTTAGTTAAGTTTTTAATATCATATAAATTTTATATATTTTTAGAAATGAAAAATAAAAAAGAAAATGGAGAATAAAAAGCAGAAAAACCCAAACAAAGTTAAGTTAAAAGTTATGTTAAAAGTTAAGTTGAACATTAATTTTAGTTAAAAGTTAAATTAAAAGTTAAGTTTTTAATATCATGTAAATTTTTTATATTTTTAATAATAGAGAAAAATAAAAAGCAGAAAAACCCAAACTAAGTTAAAAGTTAAGTTGAAAGTGAAGTTAATTTAAAAGTTAAGTTAAACGTTAATTTAAATGTTAAGTTAACTTAGTTACGTTTTTATTATCATGTAAATTTTATATATTAATGGAAAGGGGGGAAAAAAGCAGAAAAACCCAAACTAAGTTAAGTTCAAAGTTAAGATAAAATGTAAGTTAAAAGTTAAGTTGAAAGTTAAGTTAGGTTAAAAGTTAAGTTAAAAGTAAAAATAAATGTTAAGTTAGTTATGTTAAGTTAAAGGTTAAGTTAGGCAAAGATAAAAGTTAAGTAAAAGTTAATTTTTAAGTTTACACACACACACACACACACACACACACACACACACGCACACACACACACACACACTGACACACACAACAGCACATACAATTAATCTAAGTCAAAACTGAAAGCTGAAAATAATAAAACCGAATTCAAAACATTAAGTGCACTAAATAGTTGTAAATAAATCATGCTAAACTTCACTGACCTAAAAGTGACACTATTCATTTAATGATTAAAATAGCATAAAAGCTAAATTAAACAACTAATTACTTTAAAATTGTTCCTTATTTGTTTGTTTCTTAATCTTAATTTCTGATTATGATTGACATTTTTAACGCCACCACTTTTGAGATTTCATCCATCAGTCTGTAAAACCCTTTTAGGCATGAAGTAATTCTTCTAAACACTTTAAAGGTTACATCCAACATTCTGTTCTTGTTCATTTCATTGTTTTTCTTAAACTCTACTGTCTCCAAGTCTTTGTTTTATTTTTTCCATTGCCTATATGACACATTTTTAATCAACCTCTCAAATTGTTCTCACTGCATATCATAGCGCTAGAGGCTGTTACGAAAACCATGTGAACAATACTATTTTACCGTAAAAAATCCAACCCACACAAACTCTCTGTGTAATGTCTGCATGATCGCAGTAACCTGCCTGACAGGCTTTGCAGGCTCTTTGCTTCAGATCTGTTCATTGCGCAATTCATCTCTATTAACAGTGACTTGAAAAAAGAAATTCATTCAACTGTTTGTCTTGGTGCAGGTGCTTAGTGACAGGAATATTTGTTCTATTAATATGTAACTTACATAAGTCTGGCTTCTCTCTCCGTCTTTGTGCATCAGGGTGCAGATCAGTGTGTAGCGTGTTCAAACCTGATGGACGGCCCTCACTGTGTTTCTTCTTGTCCTAATGGAGTGAATGGAGAAAAGGGGCAGACCATATTTAAATACTCCACTGCAGTGGGTCATTGTGAGCTCTGTCACTTCAACTGCACACGAGGGTTAGTCTATGTTCTGTAGAGATGTTTACTCTGTTTACACTGCTGGTCAAATGTTGGGGATCAGTTAGATTTTTAAATGTTTTTAGAAGAAGAAAAAGTTGTATTTATCTGATAAATACATACAAAATTGTGAAATATTGTTAGAAATGTAAATAAATGTTAATAATATATTAAATGTAGTTCAACATGTCATTTATTCCTGTGGTTTAAGCAGAATTTTCAGCATCATTACTCCAGTCATCAGTGTCACATGATCCTTTAGAAATAATTATATGATGTTCTGCTGCTCAAGAAACGCCTATTATTATTAGCAGTGTTAAAAATGTTATGCTAACATTCAAAAGGGCAATTAACTTTTTCCATCAAGGGCACATTTTTACAGTTGTGAATTGCATTTTTAAACATTTTAGTAGTTTGAAACAATATATCTGTCATGTGAGGATGCTGGACAACAGAGTTGAGGATCCAATTGCAGTTTTATTAAGACGATCATCTAGCAAGCTAGGGTCAAAACAGGAACAAATAGGTGAATGCAGAGTAATCCAAATCGTGCTCTGTAAACCTGCGAATGGTTGGTACATGTGGCAAAATACATAAACAAAACAGATGTCAAACACGGCAAAGCTAGGGAAACACATGAAAGTGTTCACAAAACAGTATAACAAGACTCAGCAATGATGTGTGTGATGTGTTTATGGGCCACCTTATTAATCCTAAACTGCTTCAGCTGTGTGTGTTAGCGATCAAGGGGGATATGGACCAGGTGTGTGAGTTAAGTCCATGATGGTTATTGTAGTCTATTAAAGTTACAGATTTTTTAGTTCTTTGGTGATCTGCACAGGCTGGATCGCTGATGATGGTGACAAAATGAGAAATAATATATACAGAATAAACATCTGGCAGTTTTTGGCTGGCATTTATATCATAATTTACAAGACCAATCCAGACAATAAATCACTTCAAACTATTAGGAATGCCAACAGAAGTCACTTTTTATAATTTTTTGACGTCAAATGTTGATGGAGGAAAGATCAAGGTCCCATGATGCAGTTCAAAAGCATTAGTTAAAAAAATGTTGAATCACGAAAAAAAAAAACTGATAGATTATGCATGTGTTTTAAAGCGAAGAATGAAAGTAAAGCAAATTAAAGACATTATTTCATATTTTAATCATATATATTTAATATAATATTTTAAACTATCTTTTATCCTAAAAAGCAAAGCATATCACACTTTTTACTAACCTAAAAAGCAAGAAAATCATATACTAGAACCTTTTTTTTTTTTTTTGAGTACCAATAATTCGTAATAGAAATCTTAAAACAACAAAAAACTAACTCCTGATCCCAATCCCAATGATTTTGACTGGTACAGTAGTGTATGTTCCCACTATGTACTGAAAAGTGTCTATTTATGTGTCTCCTCATCAGATGTACAGGCCCTGCGTTGAGAGACTGTGTTGATCCTGACAGAAATGTGAACAGGTTAGTAGCGCCCTCTTCTGGTTACTTTGAGAAATTACAAACGCTTTCATGTGTTTTTTTTTTCAACAAGCATGTTTCTCTCAGCTCTCAGATTGCAGGGATAGCAGTTGCCGTGTTTGCTGGTATTACTGTACTTCTGGCGCTGTTTGTGCTTGGTATGCTGTATCACAGAGGCCTGGCCATTCGACGCAAAAGAGCACTGAGAAGATATCTAGAGAGTGGTGAGGTACGTCAGATGGTCTACATAACTTATTCACAACTCAGATCCACCTTCCTGCAGAATTTTGCTGCAACCCTAATCAAACACACTTGAACAAACAAATTAGTGTCTTCATGATTGCTAGAAAGTTACAGATAGATCTCAAAAGTCTAAATAAAACTATATCTGTATCAATATAAGGCTCTTTGTTCAACCTCTATGAGAGCAAAAATAAGGTTTATTGCAATTTTGATTTAGTTAAATGGCTTTACAATAATTTACAAAACTAAAAACTTGTCATTAAGGGTGTGTTTACACTTGAAAGGTTTGGTTTGATTAGTGTAATTCAGTTACAGGGGGAAGTTCACCCAAAAATTTAAATGTATACTCTCAGGTGGTTTCAAACCTCAAACCTTTATCATAATTTTTTTCTTTCTTCTGTTAGACACAAACAATATTTTGAAGAAAACCTGTAAAACTGTAACCATTAAAGTCCAAAGAAGGATAAACATTACTATGGAAGTCAGAGGGTGCTGGTTTCCAGCTTTCTTTAGAATATCTTTTTTTGTGTGTTCAACAGAAGAAAGAAACTCAAACAGGTTTGGAACAAGTTACAACATTATGACTTATTTTAGTCTTTAGTTAACTATCGCAGGGTTAATATGCAAAAAACAAAAACAATCATCTTTCATGTCTGAGTTTTCTTTCTATTTACAGTGTTATTCATTATTTTAAGAGCCATCAAAAACACGTCTCATTCATTTTGTGTGTAACGGAAGAATTGCTGGTCACTTTTATTAATGTAGATCAATGAAGTTATGCATTTTATAAGCACTTCACAAGAGCTAGACTGAAAAATAGTTCATCTTAACTGTTAAAAATTTAAATGATCTAGTTTATTATAACTGAAAAAAATGGCATCGCAACAGTTCTTTACAGTATTTGTAAATTTTAAGTTCTATCGCAAAATAAATGCCAAAAAGTCATGTCATCTTTTTTCGCTTTTTTGTTACAAAACAAGTATCTTTAGGTTCAGGCTTAATAATTCTGGTGTGAATGCTAATCAATTAAGGACTAAATCTATGCATTTTCTTTTTTAGTTTGGACAAAAAATATATTTTTCCCTTTTTTCTTTCTTTTTTTTTTGAAGAGGAATTGAACAAGAATGAGTAGTATAAATTATAGTACAGACATTAATTTTTAATTTATCAGAGACACAAAATTGCTCTAAAAGACTGATAATAAGAAGACTTTGCTACTTTTTTATATTTAGAATAATTTTCTATAAATATGTTAGATTCATCCTTAGAGTGAATGGGCCTCAACTAAATAAAAGTGTTTGACATTTTAACTATTTTTTCCTGCTAATAGCCACATTACACATTGCTGCATGACATTATACATTACTACACATTATTTTATGGTTTGCATGTCTTTCTGCTGTGTCCACGCAGAGCATGGAGCCGCTGGATCCAGGAGAGAAGGGGACAAAAGTGCATGCCCGCATCCTAAAACCACAGGAGCTGCGAAAGGGCAAACTTCTGGGTTACGGAGTCTTTGGCACCGTTAATAAGGTTAGAGGGCCAAGTGTGCCAATTTAATAATAATTTTCCTGTTATTTGGACTGTAAATAAAGTAAAGTGGCTTTATTCTCAGGGTTTGTGGATTCCTGAAGGTGACTCCCTAAAAATCCCTGTGGCCATAAAGACCATCCAGAACCGCAGCGGTCGGCAGACCTTCACAGAGATCACTGATGTGAGTTATTAGTTTGCACCAATTTTGTTTTTTGGAAAATGAAAACTGAAAGTAATTGTAAAACCTTTGGTCGTTTTACCGAAGTAAAATAAAAATTCATATTTAATGACAACTAAAATTGTGTAAGCTAAAATTGTCCATAGTGTATGTGTGTGAGTGTGTATGGATGTTTCCCTGTGATGGGATGTAGCTGGAAGGGCATCCGCTGCGTAAAACACATGCTGTATAAGTTAGTGGTTCATTCCCCTGTGGTGACCAAAGATTAATAAAGGGAGTAAGCTGAAAAGAAAATGAATGGATGAATGACTGAATGAAAGAAAACTAAAACTAAATGAAGATCAAAACAGTTCTGACCGTTGATATTCGGAGTAATGTCCACAGCGGCCATGGATTTACGTGAAATGACGCGTAAGAGAAAACGTGCCACAGTAACGTATTTGAGATCGTCAAAAATGCACAACATTAAACTTTTTCTGGAATAGTTATTTACTAAATAAAAATCTAACAAAACCAGAACTAAAATTTATAGAAAATTGAAAAAAATGTATTGAAATAAAATCTCATTTCAAAATGCAAATCTGTACTAATCTTGGGTAATAAATCCACACTCATGGATTAATTGCTTCATGCCTTCATACCTTTTTTTTTAACCTGTCGGCAGCATATGCTTTCAATGGGAAGCCTGGATCACCCGTATATAGTGCGTCTCATTGGGATCTGCCCTGGGGCCAGTTTGCAGTTGATCACGCAGCTCAGTCCTCATGGATCGTTACTTCAACACCTTCGCCAGCACAAAGACAGCCTGGACCCTCAGCGGCTGCTCAACTGGTGTGTGCAGATCGCTAAGGTGAGAACACAGGGAATTAACACAGAAACTGTTTGAATCAGCAAGCTTATTTAATGTTTTTTTTTTAAAGAAGCCTATTTTTCTCACAAAAGCTGCATTTATTTTGATTTTAAAAGTTTAAAATGGACATTTCTTATCAAATGCACTTTAAAAAAACAGTTTCTGTGATCTAAAGCTGAATTTTAACATCGTTACTCCAGTCTTCAGTGTCACATGGTCCTATAATATAATGACCTGCTGTTCTATTATGATTAGTTATCGTTGTTACTCAGTCATTAATAATGATTCTCATAACTGCCAATGTTATTTTTATGCTTTCTTTTTTGAAACTCTGATGTGGTTTTACTTTTTAGGATTCTTTGATGAAAAAAAATTCTAAATGAGAGCATTTATTTGAAACAGAATGTTTTTACTTCCACTCTCGAACATTTGAATGTGTCCTTGATTAATAAAACTATAAACAGTGCTTATAAAAAACCCATCAAACCCTATGAAAATCTGTACTTTTACCCACATTACACATGCCTTCAAAATACCTTCTGAATAAAGTTATTGAAAGGCAAAGGTTAGGAGAAGGCTACCAAAACATATAAAAGGCTGGAAGAGTTGTTTGAAATGGGATTTGATTTCAGGCTGTATGACAAATAAAGTAATTATTTCAAAGGGATTATGATGGTGATTTTCTCTAGGCACTGGGTGGAGATTTTTAATGGTCTTTGCATGAATCTGTATCACAGTTTTGACAACAATATGAACCCGCACAACAGTTTTCAACACTGATAATAATAATATCAAATCTTTCTTGAGCAGCATGGATCATGTAACAGTGAAATTTGAAATAATCGTGCCAGAATTTTCTTTTGAATAAGAATTTAAACTACATACAAAAAGAAAACAATTATTTAAAAATGAAATAATAATTGTAACGTTCAGCTGCACTTTAGAATATTTCAGAATATTTACAAACTTCAAATAATTTAATTTATTCATTTCACAACATGAAATAATCTTACTGATCTCAAACTTTTGACTTATGTATGTATGTACTGATGTATGCTGTTAAAATTCATTTTTGAAGATATCCTTTGTGTTTGTCCAGTAGATATTTGTGCACTTTAATTATTTTCAATGCATATGTGTATTTTAGGGCATGTATTATCTGGAGGAGCACTGCATGGCCCATAGGAACCTGGCTGCACGAAACATACTGCTCAAGAGTGACTACATAGTACAGATCTCGGACTTTGGGGTTGCAGATCTGCTCTATCCAGATGATAAGAAATATGTGTACAGTGAACACAAGGTAAACTCTCTTGAATAAAAAGATAATGTGTTAATGCATTAAAAACTACATTATTAAACATTACAGCATTACAATTCTAAATTGATGCTTTGTTTTAATGTGATTTTTTTATTCTTACATGAATTTTCTTTTATAATGCCGATTTAATGCTCTAGGATTTTTTTTTATATATATATTATCAGTGTTTAAATCTGTAATTATATATTGCTAAGTATTTTTGATTAATTACATTTTTAAAAGAACAGTATTTATTTGAAATAGACAACTTTTTGTGTTATTATAAATGTATGTACTGTCACTTGATCAATTTAATGCACCCTTACTGAATAAAAGTGTTAATTTTCTACAAAATAAAAATATAATTAACCATTGAAAGGTAATGCGTATACTTTTAAAAATGTATTTCATAATATATCAAATTAATATTAGACATATACACTTAAGGCCACTTTATTAGGTGCATCTTACTAATACTGGGTTGGACCCCTTTTTGCCTTCAGAACTTCCTTAATTCTTTATGGTGTAGATTCAACAAGGTAATGAAAATATTCCTCAGAGAGTTTGGTCCATATTGACATAATAGCATCACGTAGTTGCTGCAGGTTTGTCAGCTGCACATCCATGATGCCAATCTCCCGTTCCACCATATACCAAAGGTGCTCTGTTGGATTGAGTTCTGGTGACTGTGGAGGCCATTTGGGTACAGTAAACTCAATGTCATGTTCAAGAAACCAGTCTGACATGATTCACACTTTATGACATAACGCATAATCCTGCTGGAAGAGCCATCAGAAGATGGGTACACTGTGGTCATGAAGGGATGGACATAGTGAGCAACAATACTCAGGTAGGCTGTGGTGTTGACACAATGCTCAATTGATACTAATGGGCCCAAAGTTTGCAAAGAAAATAGTAAGCCAAGCAGTTTCTGAAATACTTAGATCAGCCCTTCTGGCTTCAACAACCAAGCCACATTCAAAGTAACTTTAATCACCTTTCTTCCCCATTCTGATGCTCGGTTTGAACTGCAGAAGATTGTCTCGAACATGTCTACATTCTTAATTTCATTGAGTTGCTGCCATTTGATTGGCTGAATAGACATTTACGTTAATGAGCAGTTGGACAGGTGTACCTAATAAAGTGGCCGGTGAGTGTATGTGTCTAAAACAAAATGTTCTATGTTGGTGTCAGCATTAAATTAGATTTACAACAGTGAATTTGCAAACATAGAAAGTTAAATAGAATATTAAAATCTCTATACTTGTCCACTTTAAATCAATTTGATGCTTGGAAAATTCTTTTCATATTTGAACCTTATGCTTTTATATTAGGAGTAGGGGTGATATTTATTATTTTGATGAGAAATAATTATAATAAAAGTGATGTATAATCTATTGTGGTCACTGGTCACTAAGGATTTCAGATGCTCTCTTTTTTTCAGACATCAATAAAATGGATGGCATTAGAGAGCATCCTCTTCGGCAGATACACTCATCAGAGTGACGTGTGGAGCTACGGTGAGTCTCAGCACCATTAAATATACCCCTTTCAGTTGTTTGAAGAAGTACATCAGAATGAATATTCCTCATGTATTTCAGGTGTGACGGTATGGGAGATGATGTCATACGGAGCGGAGCCATACGCTTCTATGCATCCTCATGATGTGCCGGGTCTGCTGGAGAAAGGAGAGCGTCTGGCTCAACCTCAGATCTGCACCATAGACGTCTACATGGTCATGGTCAAGTGTAAGTCAAATGCGTGACACATTTGAGCTAGATTTATTTATTTTTTGTCACTGAATCTCTTAATAAACTCATTTTAAACGCTTTGTCCGCAGGCTGGATGATTGATGAGAATGTGAGACCCACATTTAAAGAACTAGCCAGTGAATTTACAAGAATGGCAAGGGACCCGCCACGCTACCTTGTGGTGAGGGTAAGAAATTTACAGTGGCCTTCACTAATCATGGCACACTGTCAATATATAAGCAAAGTTAAAATGAAAGTTTAACCGTTTGATCTTCTGCTTAAAACATTAACAAAAAGGCTTATAATGCTTGTTTATTTTTGGATATGAGACATCCTTGAAATCCTCTCAATTTATTTGTGGTGCTTTTCAGTTGAAGGCAAAATTATTGGACCTGCTATAAATTTTCAAATATTTGCCAAGTACTGTTTTTTAATAAATATCTTTAAACATAATACTTTTAATAATTAATTTCTAATAACTAATTTATTTTATCTCTGCCATGATGACAGTATGATGACGTGTGTAATATTTTGCTAGTTATTTTGATAATAGTTTTCAGCTTCAGTTGCAGTTTAAAGACTTAACCAAATTTAATTAGGCAATTAATTGGACAACATTAGTTTGTTATGTAGCCAATTGGTGAAAATGTATAGGTAACACTTTATTTTGATGGTCCATTTGAGTATTAGTAAACTGTCTGATTAATATCTGCTGAGACTGTTCCTTCAACAGACATTTAACTCACTATAAGAAACTTTGCAAGTACATGTCAACTTACACTAACCATAACCCCAACCCTAACCCCCTAACACCTAACAATTTACTTATAATCTAATAAGAATAAGTTGGCATGTAGATGCAATGTAACTTAAATTCAACAAACGAACCATCAAAATAAAGTGTGATCAATGTGTTTCTTAAAGACTAATAACAAAACCCTTAAAAACTTAAAACTTAAATAATTAAAACTGCTTTTAATCTAGCAAAAAAAAAAACTTTACCTAGAGGAAAAAATTATAGGAAATACTGTGAAATACTGGAAATACTGTTCCTGTTAAACATCACTTGAGAAATTTTTGAAAATGAATTTAAAAATTCTCATGAGGGCTAATCATTTTGATGTTAAACTGTAATTTTTAAACTTTCTGATCAGAAAAGATTCTCTAGCTCCATGCTTTGGGATATTCAGGCTCCTTAATCCTTCATTTTAACAGTGGAGAAGACTTGACACGCATCCTCTTTTAGGTTGGGTTTAGGTTTTAGCTTTCATAACACATACAGTTGACTGCAATTTCTTTATTGTGGCCTTGATAGTAGAAATGGTCAATTTCAGGATTTTACATTCTTTTACAGCCACTTCCCATTTTATTAACCTCAACAAACCTTTCACTGCAAATTACAGCTCTCTTCTTTGGTTTTACCCATTGTGTGTAGAAATAATTTGCTCATATAAATTGCGGCACATTAATAAATATATAATGAATTTTACTTTTTTTAATATTTCCCAAATGATGTTTAACAGGGCAAGGAAATTTTCAAAGTATGTCTGATAATATTTTCTCTTCTGGAGAAAGTCTTATTTGTTTTATTTCGGCTAGAATAAAAGCAGTTTAAATTTTTTTTTTTAAATCCATTTTGAGGACAAAATTATAAGCCCCAATAATAATTCAATTTAATAATATAAGCCCCTTTAATTAGGGTTAATAATTCTGACTTCAACTGTATATATAAATATATATATATATATATATATATATATATATATATATATATATATATATATATATATATATATTTATAATATATATATATGAAACTGTGCTGTGTTTACAATGTTTTGTTCTTAATGAAATCAGAGTGTTTTGTGTGTGCTGTAAGATCAAATGTTTAAGGTCTTCCTTAGTCGTATTTACCTAAAGTGCCAATATTAGTTTAAAGCAGAGTATATTTAGTTTACTGTATATACATTTTTGGTTTTCATGGTTTTATCATTGATTTCTGTTATGATGTAGCCTGCTCAGAATGGCGGCGGTGCAGAGGAAAGCCAGCGGTATGTTAAAAGCTCTCATCTAGAGGTAGGATTGGAAGAGGAGGACGATGATGAAGATGAAGGATTGCAGGTTGGGTTTGCGACTCCTCCTCTCCAGCTCTCACCTACTAGAAGTCATTCCCGTGTCCGGATTGCCTCCTACAAGGTAAAATATGTGTTGCTCACAGTACCATTTACAAGTTTGGGCTCAACAATACTGCATAAAAAGCTTTTCTTACTTAGACTTTTTATCTTGTCTCTAGTCCAAATAGCTCATAATTCTTAAATCAAGAAGCATTTTCTAGACAAGCAGATAACATTGTCTTGTCTTCAGAAATAATAAGTCATAATTAAGTCTGTTTTTTCTTAAAACAAGCAAAATAATCCCCCAATGGGGAAAGCACAATTTGAAATGAGTTTAATTTGCTTACCCCATTGGCAGATTATTTTAAAACTATAAAACTAGATTTTGACTAGAAATAAGACAAAAACTCTTAAGGAAAGCTTTTGTTTATTAGAGTAAAAAAGCAACACTCTGAAATTTGCCTAATGATGTTTTGTATTGTAATAAACTTTAAAATGTAAATTGTTTCTGAATTTTCAGCATCATTACTCACTTCGGTATCACATGATGCTTCAGAGATGATGTTGTTCAAACATATGAATCTGATTTTTGATCAAATTATAAATTATCATTCTATTCTTTCTCTCTCTCTCTCTTTCTGTTCAGAGCACCTCAGAACACACAGCACCGATAGGTTATCTCCCCATGACCCCAGGCCCAGGAGATGAGCCTAGACAGGTCAGATTTGACAGCATGGTGACTTGACCATTTAAAATGTTTTCACAGTACCTAAATCTACTCTCAAAGCTATTTAGGTTCTCTTAGACAGTCCTAAAATATGTTGATAATAATAAAAAAAAGAATAAAATCCTGGGTCCAAACCAGTTTACGGATTGGCAGAAATAATTAATAGGAGCTGAAATACAGAAGATGCCCCTTCCCTTCGAGAATGTTCAGTAGAATTTCCTAGAGTGGCCGCATTTTGAAGAAAAAAAAAAAAAACGACTTATAAGCCAGGGGTTCCCAAACTTTTCAGCCCGCGACCCCCAAAATAACAATGCCAGTGACTCGCGACCCCCCAATATCCTCTGAGGTGGTTATAAATACAGAAACCTTGCGTGCAATGACACAGATACACCAATTAAATTTGTGTCAGTGCTTTAAATGTGCCAGAAAGTATAACCTGATGTTATAAAATCAAAATGCATCTGACGCTATTGCTGCCTTTAATATAATGTAATTACCCCAGGGGTCGCAATCCAATAGAACTAGTAAGCTAGCCTACTATAGTAACTATATAGTATATAGTAACTATAAACGACTATTTTTATTTTCAGTATAGTTATGGATAAAATATGTTAATTCTTATGGTTTAATAAAAATAAATAGATTTTTGGAAATCATCAGGCGACCCCCCTTCATTGCCCTGCGACCCCTCGGGGGGTCCCGACCCCCACTTTGAGAACCACTGTTATAAGCAACTGGACAAGCTAAACCTATACAATAAAAGTTATCCAAGTACAGTACTTCACCTGTTTTAAATGGAACAGTAATAAATGTGTGAGAAATATTCTGATTGTAACAGTGTAAATGTGATATGTTATTGGCAGAACTTACCTTTTTATTGTATTTTATTTAAATTGTCTCTCCATTATATAAAGATGGGGGCTTTAACTGTATTTATTGATAGCCAAGCCGGGACCTTAAAGTCGTATAGGGATTAGTTTGGGTTAGGATTGTTAATGGGGTAAAATGTTGATTCGTTACAGAGTTGTATTCTGTATTCCATTTTTTTTTTTTCCGAGAACCAATAAAATTGTTTATAGTCAATGAAAGTAAAAGAAATGAGTCAAAAGGAGCTGAAACTACATAATTCTTATGTTTTTGGGACAACTTAATTTTTTTAAAATAAGTAAAATTTATTAAGTTAACTTAATCGATTTGTTTTGGAACAACATGAAGGAAGTTTGTGGAACCCAGTATTTTTTACAGTGAAATTAACATGCACTGTAAAAAAATGCAGGGTTCTACACAATTCATTCATATTGTCCCAACACAAATCAACTAAGTTAACTTAAACGTTTTAACAAAATTAAGTGGATTTTACAAAACAAATTAAGTTATCACAACGAAATGTCATGACTTGCATTGTTTCAGCCCCTTTGAAAAAAGTAGTTTGAACAAGCAACAACATGTTGCTTTTGAGTGTGTGAGAGCAATCCTACACAAGCTCTTTTACATTACGCAGCTTATGCACTGTGCATAAACCAGTGTAAAATAGGTTGATGATGAAAAGGCATACTAACAGCACGGGCACAAAAATATTTTTGGTGTTAAATGATGGCACAAACACCAGTAAATATATCACAAACCACAGGAAATCACCATCCATTAATATTCTACTCCCATCAGTTTTGTGTTTGAAAGAGAATCTCTTACAAGTGCACATTCAAAAGAGGTTTTGTGTTGCCAAGTCCCATTAAAACAATATATATGTGTTGTTTCCACCCAGTTGCGAGCCCAGAGGAGGAAGACTGGCTCAGTGAGGACAGAGTCTGAGTGTTCGGAGGGCCGGGGGACCATTGTGGACATTGAAGCAGTTGAAATCACTTCTCAAACAGGCAGTCTTCGCAGAGGACGCAGTCGAATGGACAGTGCCTACATATCTGGCGGAGTGTCTGTCGCATCAGATCCATTCTCTCCCGGTCTGGAAGGAGTAGATGAAGACCATTATGGATACGTGCTGCCTACCGAAAGAGGTAAAACATTATTGCTCTCTTGGTGATTACTGAGACTCGACAGAGACTGGGTGATATTGTCCCAGAAATGATCAAAGTAAATATTGATATGATCATGCTCCGCCAATTCAGTTTTATACTAAAGTGTAAACTATATATTTTTGTTGTGTTTAGCATAATCTAATATTATTCATTTAAAGGAAGGGACTTTTTTCATATTAGAAGTAACAAAGTTGTATCAAAGACATTACAACTATAAAATGGCAGGAAGGTAATAATTCTGTCATTATTTACTCATCCTCCACTTGTTCCAAACCTGTTTCAGTTTTTTTCTTCTGTTGAGCACAAAGGGAGATATCGTGACGAATGTTGGACAAAAACAACCATTGACTTCTATTGTATTTCCTTACTATGTACAGTATGTTATAGATGGATGTTTCCTTCATACTATGGATGTCAATGGCAGCTTTTTTCCAACATTCTTCTGAATTTCTTGTTTCTTGTTCAGAAGAAAGAGATTGATAAAAGTTTAGAACCACTTGAGTGTGATTAAATGCCGAAGAAATGTTTCATTATTTGGTATCCCTGTTCACTTTCACAACCCAAATGAAGATTTTTTTAGGAGTTAATTTTAAGATTAAAAGATTTGAAAAGTTTGAAATACCATGCGGGTGAGTAAATATGACAGAATTATTAATACATTTTAAGAATTCATTACAGTGTCGCCTTAAATATGAATTAAATCCTTTAATCCAACAGTCCCATCAACAAATTGTAGTTTTGCACTTTATTGTACAGACATCAATTTTCCCTTTAAACCAATTTTGGTGTTCAAAGTGTCATTGCATTATTGATTGCACGGTGCAAGGGTGTTCAACCCTATTTCTGAAGATCTACATTTCTGCAGAGTTCCGCTCCAACCCTGATCAAACACAGCTAAATGAGCTATGATCTGAAAGAGCACTTGGTAATTAAAAGTAGGGATGTCCAGATTTGATCACATGATCGGAAATCAGACCAGCAATTTCAGACTCAATCAGAATCAGACGTTACCTCTCAATCAGGACTCGAATATATATGGATCTATATATATTTTCATTATTTTTTAACTCATCTATAGTTATGCGGTGGCACAGAGTTAGACCTCTTTCTTGACTTCACAAAGAAAAAGCAACGCTTGTGGCATGACATCACTTTGCTGTAGAGACCCTATTGGTTAAATGCCGGCAAAGTAGAACACAGAAGCAGCTTGAAGTGGAAAGTGCAAGCATGTCTGCGCTCTAGAAGTATTATAAAGTTGATAACAACATAGCTATAGCAAACTTTAAAATTTGTAAACTCGGGATTGCCTGCTGGGTATTTTAAGTTGAGGAGTTTTTTTTTATATTAGATTTTTTTTATATTTACTGTTGCAATAAAGTCCAAAAGTGAAGAATTTGTGTTATTTATTACTTGATTGTTCAAGCGACCTCACAGAAGTGCTCCGTTTGTTAACAGAGTTGTTGTATGTTAAAATAAGGTGAATTAAATAAATAATAAGGAACATCCAGGATCTGTTTCTCTGCTCTTCTTTATTATTTTTTATGCATTACAGAAGTATCGGATTGGGTTTTGATATCGGTAGATACTTAAAATCAAATGACTCAGACTCGAGGGCAAAAAAATCTGATCAGGACATCCCTAATTACAAGTACAAGTGAAAAGTGTGTTGACCAAAGTTGCAGCTAAAGTCTACAGGAAGGTAGATCTTAGAGAACAGGTTTGGGCACCCCTGGCACAGTGCATAAACACTGACCCAGCCCTAGACCCCCAACTTTGTTTACCTTTCTAACACATATCTTCTTGTTTAGATTTCAGAAGTGCTGTTCCTCATGGTAGGACATCCAGACACTCCAAAAGCACTCCAAAAACAGATGCCACGCAAGAGTACGAGCTAATGAACAAACAGACAAACAAACTTTCCTCCTCGCCCACAGACAGCACTGACCATTTAAAACCAGCATCCCTTGTTTCTGCACACATATGTAGCAGTTTACCTCAGAAAAAAGAAATGGACTCAGCACAAACCCAAGATGAAATTTTACCACAGAAAAGAGAAACAGACTCAACACAAAGCCAAGAGAACAATTTACCACAGAAAAGTGAAACGGACTCAACTCAAACCCAAGAGTCAGAGAAGGATGCTAGTTTTCAACCTGACAACTTTGAGTCTGCTGAAAACTGTCTGATTGGATCGGAAACATTAAACGATGGTGGTCAATCTGAAGAGGAAGAACAGCAGCCACGATTGGTGATGGTCGAATATGAATACATGGACATACGTACAGATGAACACCAACAAAATGTAGCTGGCAAACGTACAACAAACGGTCCAAATGAGGTGGAGAGGGAAGCGATTTATCAAAATATAAGTCAACCTCTAAGATTTCATGAAAATCCAGATTCTGCTGGCAATACGATGCAGAGGCGCGGTGAATATGTGGACATGGAGGCATCTGGGAGAAGTGGCTGTGAGGTTGGAGATTATCAGAATGTCCCGGTAAAGGGAAGGCCTGTTGTGGGAGAGGAGTCGCAAAATACTGGCCTCAGATCTTACATAAAAGTGTGTGCTGGAGTGGAGCCGCAAAACACTTCTTTTGACAACCCAGATTACTGGCACAGCAGACTTTTCCACAAGCAGGACACCGTGTGCACATGAATATCTTTAAAGTTGCCATGAAACAGAAGCTAAAATTGTTCTTTTCCCCCTATTGTGATATACATTCAATTGAAAAAAATGTTGGTCGTGCATGATTTTGTCTTTGGAAACCGATTGAATGGTTGTAAGATGGGCATTTCCAACTCAATGGAGGGAGATTTGAATGCCAGTTTGTGTTGGATTGCTGTCCATAGAAGAGAACATGAGGAGGAGAGCAACCTAGTAACCACCATATTGCTATTTCTCATGACAGATTCTTGGAGCAGAAACTAGACCTGCGCTGTTAGCCCTGCCCTAAAGGCATTCCATGTGACCAGAGGTGAAGAAATGTCATTTCGAAGGAGGGAAGGAGGTTATCAGGGTGTGAATTACAGGGGGTTTGAGAGGGATTGATCCCCCTAATTAAGGCTTGATCCCCCCTGAAGGATTTCAAAACAAGATGTATGGGGGGTCCCTTTGAATCTAAGAAAGAGTTTACTCTGATCAGTATTTTAAATAATATTGTTAATAATTAAAATAATAGATATCCATTTGACCACCCCTATAATGGTTCAAACCATTGTAAATGCATAATCAAGTCAATAAAGCAGCAGATTTAGATAGACCGATAGACACCGTAAGAGTTCACAAGACTTATTTCTCAAAATGGGTTTTTGTTTCTACATAAAGCCTAAAAGTAAAGTCAAATTAGATGCAGAGTTTGTATATTTTGACCTAAAATACATTTGATTAATAAATTGTATGTAATTTAAATAAATACATATGTTTGATTCACTGATTCCCCCATTCACCCCCTTCCCCCCACCCATTAATTTGAGGGCAAATGATTGATTGATTCAGTGAATGAATATACAAGATAATGAAGTGCACAGATAGATTTTAAAGCAAACACTACATATACATCTGAAAATAAGAAGAGGCAATTTTGATTTCATGCCGACTTTAACTAAAATAATGTGACGGAAATTGAATGGACTGGCATGCCCAGCGCATTTCTATATGTGTGTTTAGCATTTGTACACATGAAATAATACTATGTGCCAACAAAATATACTTTATTATAGTGTAAATTACTTTTTAAAGATTGGACTACCTCCACATTTTTTTTGTCTCACGTGCTTTTTTATGGACTGTTTTTAAAGATGATGATCTTTGTTTAGGATCTTGATGAGGGAGGAAAAAAAACAGTAATTGTATATTGATTTTCTTAAAGATTAAAGTAATCTTCATAACATGAAGTTGTCTCCCGTATTGAAGTTGTTATTATCATGTACAATTACTTTACTGTCACCAGTGATTTGTGCATGTGTTTAAAACATACTGTGTATCATTATATGAAATATGTTTTTTATTAAAAATGTAAAAATTGCTTTAAAAAATTAAAACAACACAAGCACCGAAATTACTTCCTTTGTTAAAGATGGCGTGTCTAAAAGGATTTTGTGGGGGGATGATATTTTGTGGAAATTAAGCTTTGAACATTTTGGAAATAAAATGCATAAACTTCTTCTAACCAGGATTCTGAGCAGGAGCCTGTCTTCAGGTCTTTACACTGGCTCCTAGTAACATTCAGAATAAAAGTTAAGTATTATTACTTGTCTATAAATCACTAAATGGCCTCAGTACATTACAGATATTCTTACTGAATACAAACCTACCAGATGACTCAGATCATTAGGATCGAGTAAATTAGAAATTCCATGAATTCAGTATAAGTAGGGTGAATCCGCCCTCATGCCCTCCACTGCTGGAACCAGCTGTCAGAAATGATCAGATGTGCTCCAACATTAGGCACTTTCAAATCAAGACTTATCTGTTTAGCTCTGCCTTTATGATTGAGTACTCTGCTATGTCTGACAGATCGCACTGTTTGTGTCTTTCTTTTCCTTTTCATTCGCGTGGGTTTCCTCCGGGTGTTCTGGTTTCCCATGCCCGTAGCCAGGAGCGTTCGTTGGAACCACCCCAACAGCCAAAAGGTCCAGAATTTTTCCTTTTAATTATTTTATGTAATTTAATATTATATAATATATTTATTGTATAATTCATATAATTATATTTATATTTAAAATATATTGTAATAAAGTGTCATTTTAAATAACTATGGCCAGTAATTCTAATCCCATGGAGCCTCAAAGCCACGAGGCACATGTCATAACCCCCTGAGTGGTCACATTTGAATCTTTAATACTGGACAGGTCTAATCATTTTCAGACAAAATTAATATAAAAAAAATTTGACTGCTATGCCATCATAAGTAATAAAAATAATCCATCAAAAAAGGCTGTAAAACCAAACGGAATCCTCTGTCGGCTGTTGCTTTGGTGGGACTATAATCTGATGTAAGACACGTCTTCTTTCACTACTGTATTTATTTTAAACAGAGAAAACATTTTACAGGTAACTAAATCTAAATCTGGACCTTATTCCTGAAATAAAAATGAGCAATAAAAAGGTGTGAAGCATCAGAAGCAGATCATGTTAAATTAATTTGAATATATTTTGGCTGTTGTTGATATCCAGGAATTTTACCAAGAGACCAGAAAAATTCTGAAGAATTAATAATAATTAATACTAAGCATATGAATAATAATAATAATAATAATAATAATAATAATAATAATAATATTAATAATAATAATACTATTGTTATTGTTACTGTTTTTGTTATTATTATTATTATTATGTTTTAATTTTTTTTTTTATTGAAATGGCCAAATTGTGACTGAGGGCAATTGAATGTGCTGGCCAGTTTGTTTTCTGTCTAATAAATGATAGTGGGCTACAGTTTGTTTACTTTAAAACTTTAACAGATAGCTGTTTTTCCCTAATGATATATGATGTAGTAAATTAGTATTTTAAAAATGTGTCTTGTTTCAGTTTTTTTTTATTGCAATTTTTTAGGAAATATGTTTAGTACATGAAAAAGTGTGGTTATAATGACACTAGCTAGCTAATCCAGCAAAAAAAAAATCACTAAAATGCAGTATTGAAATCTCATAGTTAACTACAAACTGAGGCGTATAAGTGCAAAAAGGTCCACCTTTTGAGAAAAAAAGAATCACTCCTTTCACCAGGATGGCTACGGGCCTAAAGACATTCTCTATAGGTGAACTAGATAAGCTAAATTGCCTGTAGTGTATGTGTGTAAATGAGAGAGTATGGTTGTTTCCCATGATGGGTTGCAACTGAAAGGGCATCCGCTATGTAAAACATATACTGGATGAGTTGGCAGTTCATTCCGCTGTGGCGACCCCTGATGAATAAAGGGATTAAGCCAAAGGAAATGGATGAATGATCATATTTGCAAACAGACTTCTAAACTGAGTTGAAAAAAAAATGGTTTCATAAGACATAAAAATATTCATGCTTTACTAGATTTCATTTATTGATTGTATATCGCCTACCACTCAAACTTATTTACACTTAACACACGTGTCTTTACACTTAAAACACGTTTTAGGACTTACCATCTCAGATTTTAAAAATAAAACTCGTTTTAATATACTCTTAAGACAAGTTAGAATACTCTCGTCTCGTGTCAAACTGTACCCGCAGTAGTACGGGTTATAAATTAAATGTTAAAACGGCTTGCAGATGTCACTGTTGAGTGTTTCGTATTCCGGTGACTTTTAATTTGAAGCGCGCTCCCGTGGTCGGCCATCTTGCGCGTTTCCACGGCGGCTGGTGGCGCAGACTGGATGTGAAGCGTGCTGAGCTCCACCATCATCATCATCATCATCCCACGAGCGAAGCGAGGGAAAAAGTTACGAGCTCCGTTTGAACCTCAGAACTGACAATCATGTCAGGAGACGACGACCAGCAAGAGCAGACCATTGCTGATGACCTGGTGGTCACAAAGTACAAGATGGGCGCCGACATTGCCAACCGTAAGAACTGATTGTGTATCTTTATGCGCGATTAAAGGTTGAATTTGACCGAGTGGAGCTTCAGCTCAGCGCTTCGCCATGTGTCTGCGAGCCGTACCGAGAAAAGCGCACATACCGTTTATTTTTTGTGTTTTTTACTGGACTTGACTTAACTTTCCTTCTTGTGGACAAGCATAAGCATGCGATGTTTTACTCTCAAGTGCGTTAGTTGTGTTTATAAATAGCCGGCTAGCGGGTTAGCTAGTTAGCTGCATTGAACCGTGAAGTTTTGCTAAGTCATTATTAACTTACTCAACCTCGTGTTGTTCTAAAACTGTCTGTAAAGCACGCTGGGAAATGTTTGACAGATGTTTAGTGACTGACAACCTGAGTCACCAGTCACTTTTAGTTCATGTTGGTCTCCAGAATAAAAGCAAGTGGGGACCGATCCTGTCATCTTGACTAATATGTAATTTACAGATATAAGTTACGTTAAGTGGATGTATGTCGTAAATATACAGCTATGAAGCTCTAAAATTATTATATTTCTATAGATATTTTGATGAATTTTTTGTGACTCGAGTGACCCTAGACCACAAAACCAGTAATAATTGTCAGGTTTTTTATTTATTTATTTATTTGAGATTTATGCATAATCTGTAGTGTTTTTTGGTACGAAAAACATAATTTTGACCCATACAATGTATTTTTGGCTATTGCCATAAGTATGCCCATGCAACAAAAGACCCAAACAGTAAATGCATCTCTTCTTTTATCATGTAGTTGTGTCATTTTTTTGGGAAAATAAATGTAATGAATTGAGGTAAAGTTGGTTCAGTGACCACTCCTGTCATTTACCATTGGTCTTTGAATGTTTAAACTGAAATCACATGCAAGTCTGACTTGAAAACAACATTAGCACTATTTAATTGACTCTAAACATTGTTGTACTTTGATGGTTGTTGGCTGTTAATATGATTTTACTCGTTATATTTTGCAATAAATACTTTTCTGAAATTATATTGTTAGGAAAAAGTCTGAATGTGCAAAATATAAAACCAAGTTTACCTCATTATGTAATGACAGGTGCTGAGAAAGCTTTAGCTTCTGTCAGTCGTTGCGGTTGCTTTTGCTAGAAGTGCTTTACTGATTTAATGTGTATTGATCTCCTTCGGACCAGATCATGTCA